ACGCTGCCGATACTTAGACAGCGCACAACCGCGTCGGCGCCCTACTCTTTGTCGCACTGCGCCAAGTTTTAATGTGATGATAAGCTGGGCAACAGAACTCTCACAACGATGGCGGACACGAAGCAACGTGACAATAAATGAATATGCTATTTTTAAAAATGCGTAAGTCAGTCTATTTTAATTTTCGCTTTTTGTGAGAGAAAAAAAAGCTACAGGATAGATGCATCGTTCTATGTGTAAATCTCGTAACTCAGATGAATATGCTGGCCGTGAGGACACTGCAAAGTTTTGGTTGGGTTTTGAAGCTCTATGAATCATTGACGTAGGGGGTATGAACAATATAGTGCATGTATGCTTGTATATAGTGTGTACGACTGGGATGCCACTGACCGAGAGGTAGGTTAAAAGGGATGTTCAATACGGAAATATTCATTTGTACTATAATAGAAACATATTTCAAGCAACTGTTTCTGTGAATCACGTTTGACGTAGATGCACATCATCATTTCATATAATATTGTAATAAACGTGTCAAATTAGAAATTGATCCTGCAATGTGTATTTATTTACTTGTTTAAATGATATCTGATTATTTTTTTAAAAATTCTGTTAGTCATGAACTTTTAAATAAGTCCAGAGACTATTGTACTATTGATACAAGTAAATTACGTGCCTCCAAGACATTCTCAATCAAGATATATGCATCAGAGAAAAAAACAAAGAAAAGTTCTCTATATACTTAATCAGTTATCAGTTAATATATACTTATCCCGTTTTTCTTGTTTTCCGAGAACTTTACAATTCCTGACTTGTGGGGTTTTAAAAATAACCGATTCAAATACCACAGAGCTAAGTGTACATGATACCGCTAAAGTCTGAAAGTAGCTAAATCCAAAATTTGCTGATTGATGTTTTTTTATCGTTTTCATTTTATTCGAACAACGTTTGTCTTATCCATGGACTCGTCGAACGTAGGATATTCCTCCGTTAAGTTAGTCACTGTCGAGAAGACATCAAAAATATTCAAAAAGAAACGTAAGTAGCAAGTTTGAAACAATAAGATATATACAAACAGATATAAACACATTACTATTCCAGTAGTGATATAAAAAAATTACTGGTGTGTGTACTTATTAATGTATTTTTATAACAGTTTTAATTTAAATATTTGACGTTATTCCAAATATTCAGAAAGAATAAAATAAATATTCGATAAACAGTAATCGATTTTATTAGCACTAATTCTTAGTAACATGTTGCAAATTGTATGTGAATAATTGTTGCTGAAAATGAATGAGTAAAACTTCCATTATATTTCTAAAAGAATTGCATGATGTTACCGCTGATCAGTTGATCAGTATGATGATCGTAATAAGACATATCATTTTACTGAAATGTTTCCTTTGATTCTGAGATAACATTTTTGTTGATTTTGCATTCATAGTTTATATACGTCCTATATTTTGTTGTTGCTGCTGTCCTCTTTCACAAACCCACGCTTATACACGCATGAACGTGCTGCAAGATAAGATCAATATATATAAAAATAAAACGCTTTTTCGTGTATAAAGTTTCAAATATCAAACACGAAACATCTTGCGAAAGGTTCTTGCGTGTGGCAAATGCCTCATACCGTAAAACGTCATATTGATTTTCAACTCAACTTTAATACTTCCAGTTTAAATGCTAGGTAGGCTCAGACAAAGCATATGTCTCATGTGAATTAATAAAAGAGGAATGTTTGTGAAATTGGAACACCTACATCTTCAATATTTTCGAACCATTTAAGCAGACGTTACGAATATTTTATATATTTGAAAAACATACTATATTTTGAATTCACGTTCTGTCAAATACCGCGAAGAAACTAGAAAATACCGTTTTTTTAAATTCCACTTGCAAGTCGTATGGTTACTCTTCCAAAATATTTCCATCTAACATTGTAAATCTCGACTCTTATTCAACTTGGTTTTATGTTTTGGGACAGATAAATCTTAACTTTAGGTCGGAGAGATAATGCTCTTAACGTTTTTCTATGAACAAATTTTGAAGACAAAACTATCCAAGACAATGTTTAGAATACTTCGCAAGTGAAGAGATAAAAGAGGCGTGGGGTACCAGAGACATTTGACGAAAATAATCCATGGTGATGTCGCACGAACATTCTCTGTATTAATAAAGTGATTATATAATGATATAATTTATGTAATGATTACAAATATCAAAGACTTAATAATCCTATTTTCGGTTAATATTCAGGTAATCTTACGACTTCTTAGCGTTCTATGGTATGTCTTGAATATGCTTTTGTCAAGATGACTCAAGACACTACGTATTCACGAGCTTTAAATGCAAAAGTCGAATATTATTAAAATTAACCAAACTGTTGTTTTAAACACTTAAAGTTACACAAAAACTATGCACTGTAATAAAAATACTAGTCGCGTCCATTATTTGAAGCTGTCAGTATCATGTATTCAGAATAAATTAGAAGTTTCTACGGCTGTAAGGTATGGTCCAAATGCTACCACATCTACTTTAATGGTCCAATCGGCAGGTACTCAAAAACGGTTACCTGTAAAAAAGTCTTAAAAACGCTTACTTTGAATGTTATACGTATCTAGGTATTTATTAAAACCCCAATTTTTCGACCTCCCAAACTCTGTGCTAACTCGATTAAGCCAGATGAAACTTTTTTTTTTTTACTTTTTTTCGGATCGTTCTCTCTAACTCTTCAACCTTAAATCCTTTCGAAAAAAAACTATTCAAATCAATTTTAAATCATTTTCTTTAACTTTTGTTTAAAACATTTATATCTAAATCAATTACCAAGCGAGCTATAGGTTTTCAAAAATTGCTGTTTTTTGATTTCTCAAAAATGTGTGCCAAAATACGCATGCTTATAATACTGTAATCAACTTGCTGTTAAACATATTTATTATTATACACAGCACTGTTATTTATTCCTACGTCAATGAAAACAATGTATCAGAAAAGTACATTTTGCAGACAATCTTAATATATACAAAAAATGGGTGTGTATGTATGTGAATTCGTGTTCCAGCTTAACTCTTCATCGCGGGGAATATTTCATTTCTACAAAACGTGGTAAACATTATGATTAAAATGTGGAAAAGAATTCTTTGTGGGTAAGACTGGGTGTATGGGGGTGAAAAGGAAGTTACATATACAAACAAAACCTATATACAACCTGCAACGCACGTACTGCCTTACATGCGCATTTAGAGAACTCCAAGAGTGAGATAGGGAAGGCTGTTTAATAGAGAGTGATAAATAAATATCTCCAATTTTAAAGGCAATAAAATGTCTCACTGTTGATTAAACTTGTTTTCTAAACGTAACACTAAGCTCAAAAATAGAACAGAACAAAAACGCTAGTTCAAGATTGGTATGTGATGATAGGGTTCTGCCAGTCTGATTACAGGAGTCTGTTCCTCCACCATACTATGTTTTCATTTGTCGCCTTTCTACAAGGCTGAGTAATTAGGGCCTCAACATGTGTCTCCAGGGCACATGTAATTAGCTAATCTTGTATATTTTATATTTTCAAACGCAATAATTGCAAATATGTTTACTGGCAACGTGCGTTGTGGGTGAAATGGTAACAACGTGCAGTGCAGTATGGTTGGTTTCACAAGGAAGTGGAAATAAACTTTCCTTTTATAATTTGAAACGGACAGCCCTAGTTCTCAGGTTTTTAACATGAACAATATTGTGCCCCAAAATCCCATCCTCAGGTAGATACTTCCTCCCTCAAACATCAATTAATTAACCACTTAGATTGTCTTCAGAAGAAATTCAAAAAATGAGATGAGTATAGCAATAACTAGTGGTGCTACAAAATGGCACAGACTTTCTCATATTAGTTTTCCATTTCCTTTGGTCTCGGCCAGCTATTCCGACTTGCCACATACTCTTGCCAGCAGCCATCTATCGCCGCTCAAAGTACATTTTTTAAAAATGTTCTTAATTTTCAAATAGTAGAACATAAATATTATTTTAAGAATATTAAAAAACTCGTCCTAAATTGCTATTTCCTTTGAAAAATTTGGAGCCGTTTTTAAGAAAATGGTTTTTAAGTGCTACTGGAAATTCGAAATTTAAAGCTCCTTTGCACATAAAATATTTGACTTTTCTAAAAACTTCATTTAAAGCACTTTAATTCGGAAATAAAACAGTGTTTACAAATTGCTGGAAATGTTCACATTAACGACGTGAAGGATCTTTCAAAAAATTATATTAGTGTAATTTTTTAAAAAACAAAATAATACTCAAAATGAACTTTACGTCATATAATTACGTCATGCAATAGCACTATTCGTTCGAAAAGTTTGAAGAAAAAGTTTGGAACCTACTTAAAGAAAATGGCGTTTGAGCGTTTCTAAAAATGCGGAATTTTAAGCTAGTTTTCACAGAAAACGGTTGAGTTTTCGAGAAACTATATATTTAGAACTACCGTATTAGATACCCTTGTTATTGTCACCACAATCTCCATTTGCCGAACACCAGTTCACGTTGAGATGCACACCAACTAGAGGCAAATGGCAAATGTGTAACTTCGTTATATGAACTTCCCCATCAGGTGCTCAAATGTGCAAAAGTTTATTATCTTCAACTCTAAACGTTTGAAACATTTACTCTAAGACATTCTGAATAAAAGAAAATTAAAGTATATTGGAATTTTTGCAAAGTGAATAAAACTGTTCGATATCTTTATCTTAAATATTTCAACACAATGCTCTATTGGTTATCAAACGAACTCTTAGGCCAGGCCTGTGATCTTGTATTGCACTAAGATGTCTTAAGGTATGTCTCTCGTATACAACTATTTGAAGCTTTTATCAAGCTCTGTTTGTTTACACACAGGCGAGACAATTACGCAACTCTTCCCAGCGGTCGCCCGGCTGGGCGGGCTTACTTGCGCGGTGAGGCGGCGAGGGCGGGCGTGGGCGCGCGGGGGACGGCGCGGGCGGCGGCGCGGGCGGCGGCGCGGGCGCGGGCGGCGGGCGGCGGGCCGGGCTACAGGCGAATGACGAGGTCCGCCAGCAGCTGCGAGTAGTTGTGCTCGACGCTCAGCGACGGCAGCGACACGGGCGAGCGGTCGCCCGAACGCACCGACACCATCGTCAGCACCTGCGGCACACCACACACTGGGCTGGGGACACTCCTTCCCCCTCACAATCGCAACGACAGGCGGAGGGCGTTCAGAAAGTAATGCCTCCTTTTTTTTTACTTACATAAAATTAGTTAAGTGAACATGTTTGGGACTATTCATCAAACCTTCTTCCACAATCCACTGCTGCAGTAACTGACTGCGTCAACATGTGGCAGCACGTTCGCAAAATGGCCGACATAAATGTTCGTAAGAGACCGCGTTATGTGACTGAATTCTTGAATGCAGAAGGTGAAATGCCCATTCGCATTCAAGAGAGACAGAAACAAGTATACGGTGATGCAACAGTAAAGGTCTGCACTGTTAGACGATGGTTCGTAACTTGTAACGAAGCTGAAGGGCATAGTTATCAGATGAAAAGCGGAGCGGCAGGTCGATTACATCATCCGTGGTGACCGCGGGGTTACTGCAGATGAAATGAAAAAGATTATTCGACACAATTCATCTGTCACGTTTCACCTTCTACATTGAATAATTCAATCACACAATGCTGTCTCTTACGAACATCGATGTCAACCATTTTTCATACAACTACTGTGCTGCAAGATGTTGATGCAGACAGTTACCATAACGGTGGATTATAGAAGGTTTGAGGAGTAGTGCCTAAACCAAAATTTTCTTTCAAATACTATTATTTAAGTAGTAAAATAGTAGGTTTTGCTTTTTGACTGACCATCGAATTTTAAAGGTATGGGGAAACATAATGGTAACCCACAAAGTACACCGAGATATGGAGTTGAAAATTTGTTGTTGTTTTTTCTGTTAGCTGCTGTGGGTAACCGTAGAATACAGCCCTGTGCTGTTATTTGTGGTCATAAAAGTGAGCTCTTTAAATTAACAAGTTTATAGGAGAATTACCATTGTATTTCCTTACAATGCTTCAAATATCCAAATTCGAATTTCTACGATTATATCCTTCCATTTATTTGAGAAAGAAATTATCCTTTATTTAAATAAACGTTTAAAATTATAATTGTTATGTCATCGTTTAAATAGGGATAATTATTTATAGTGAAATAAGAATACTCTTTAATAAATGATACAGTTTGGATGGAAATGAATTCGACTAAGCAGCTGTTGATGACCCTCGGTCAAAGCGGCATTTTTGTAATTTTACACTCGATGCTCTCAGATCTTGTCTCGAGTATGATGTAGAACCCTTCTATTGCTGCTGATTGTTTGAGTGTAAATATCTCATTTTTCAATGCATCAACACATTTCAAATAACGTTCTAGTTTCGTTTTCGTTTAATAAAATAATTCGGTTTATATTTCTGGTTTTGATTTAAAATATTCAGGTTTAGATTCCCTTTTCGATTTGGAAACGGTTCAAACATTTTTGTCTATTTCTATAATTCGAAGTTAATGATAATACACTTCCATTTAACTACGTCTTGGACGATTCTCTTCCCGTGAAAGACAAAAACGTCGATAAAGTAAAATACAGAAACGAAAGGAATTGTCTGGTATCTAAAAATCTCCGAAATGTATTATTTACACTATTATTCCCTTCTTAAAGTAAAATTAAAATATTGCTTGAAATTATGTAGATCTTTTAAAAACCGAAACCGTTTCAATTACTGTTGATTCCAGAAATACATTTAATTAAAAATAATAGTTTTAATATCGCCCTTTCAATTGAAAGTCTTTTTTTAACGGCGTTGAATATAGTTTTGGATTCTTCCCTTGCCGTCTTTTAAATTCCTACGGAGTGAATCAGCAAGAACGTTCTGCAATTTAAAAATCGTTGTTATAAAACTGAAAATAGTTCCATTATTGAGCCCATCTTGGAACGTTAGTATCAACTTGTACTACGAAGTGGGGGTACCATCCAGAAATGTTTTAGAACGTAAATAATAAAAATGTAAAAATTAATTATGTAGTTTATGGTATAAGAAACATAACTTGATAACTCGTATCCCTATACAGACACGAACTCGCGGATATGAAGACCTAAGTTACGTCGTTTTCTATGCAGAGAAAATATGGTGCAGGTTGCATGCACATTTGACATTTACTCCATATCCTAATCAGCAAGCAAGTTAACTTTCGTGTTGTGTCTGTTTGATGCCCTGCGCAGGAGCACTTACGGGGTCTGGTGTGGACTGTTTCTCATAAATGGAAGAAAACAACTTTACATTTCCTTTTTATTTATAGACATAATTGTTTTATAATTTTCACAATTCTCAACTGTTACATTGACCTAATGTAACCAAACACAGGGGTGGAAACCAGCTCTTAACTGCCTGTATTCATTATGGATTTTACAGTACTCCGTCCGTTAACAAAAATCGTAATACATGAGTAGTATCAAAAGATGCCGGACGAGTTCTATTCAAAGAAAAAGGTAAGGGTATTAGGTATGATAATTACGAAAAGAATTCAACGACACCCGGCCGATATCACAAATAACGAACTTGGTTATAATCAGGCGTCCGTTAGTAGCTCTTTATCGGCCTCGTGACGTTAAAAACCACTTTAAGCAGGAGGGTTTGCGAGCATGGAATGTTTGTGACATCTTTTACTGAGAAGTGGGAAGGAATACACGTAGTTGAAGGCAAACCGAACGGAAGCGGCGTCGCACCTGGTGCTGCTGGCCGGCGTGCGCGGCCGCCGGGAGCAGCGGCAGCAGCGGGTCGGCGCTGGCGTTCACGCTCACCAGGCACGGGTCGTCGGCGCCGGGCATCTGAGCGGCTGGCGGCTTCCGGGGCCTGCGCACCCGCGCAAGGCGCTGCTCAAACACTTGCGTCTACAGACTGACAACAGCTGCTTGGAGATGTGAACTATTATTTGTGACTAGTCAAAAGAGAAGGATGAACATGTTGTTCTAGAAAAACAAAACTTTAAAATTAAAGGTCATACAATTCAAAACAAACACCCGGCCGACCATTACCTCTAAAGACTGACAACAGCTGCTCGGCAACGTGAATTATTATTTTTTTCCCTTTATTTTTTGTCGCATCAACGACTAAGGTTATTAGCGACAACATTTTTAATTACAGGTGTTTACAGGCAATTATGACTTCATCTTTCATTACATAAACAAAAGTATCAGAATGTATTGGTCATAACATAATACAGTATCACATATTACTTATCTTACATACCATCATCATACAGAACAATCAGGGCATGGTCATCTTTTCGAGGGTTACACATCATTACATTAACATAATGAATTATTATTTGTGACTAGTTAAAAGAGAAGTATGAACATGTTGTTCTAGAAAAACAAAACTTTAATTCTAAAGGTCACACAATTCAAAACAAACACTCGGCCGGCCATCACCTCTACAGACTGACAACAGCTGCTTGAAAATGTGAATTATTATTTGTGACTAGTTAAAAGAAAGTATGAACATGTTCCAGAAAAACAAAACGTATATTCTAAATTTAGTCTCTTGTATGATGTTTTATTTCCATAAGTTGGAAATACCAAATATTCTACACTGAATATCAGTTTTAATTGTTTACATCGAAAGTGAATTTTCGTTAAATAGTTTGTAGTTTATATGATGTATTATTTTAAGCTCGGATGCGTTTTTTATTCGTACCCGAAGAGAACCAGTGCTAGAAATAGTAAAATTTTTACAACAGAACTCCTAGGCCGAGAGCCAGTATCTCCTGTTGCGATGAAGTTCGCAGCAATATTTTTATGAATTACTCCTCAGAATGCCCGGTGAGTTATGTAACATTTAATGTACGATTTCTCAAAACACTTACTATGAATTGAATGAAAGAAGAAGGTACTTTGACGGTAATACTTCTTTAATAACGTAAAAAATCATATGCCCGCGAAAGTTTCTCCATAAAAGTCTGGACTAATTATTTTTTATTTTATTTAAAAAATTAAGCCGGTAAGGGGTCAAAGTTTTTCTTACCATCTTAAAGATTTTTTTATTTCAATATTTTTGGGTGTTACTTTATTGTGACCGATCCAATGAATTGGACTAATTTTTTTTATTTTATTTTAAAAATTAATCCGGTAAGGAGCTAATGATTTTATTATCACCTTAAATAATTTTTTATTTCCATATCTTTTGGAGTTACTTCATTGTGGCCGATCCAATGAACTTACTACTTTAACCGGCCACTGCGGGACCGGGCTCTAGGCCGAACAAAATTTAGGGCAGTTAAACCGTAATTCCCCTAAGGGAAGACTGTAGCATGTACACCGTAACTTTCAATACAATTGCAACTAAATCCGCAACATATCGACTCAATAAATTAATAATCCAAGTATCCAAGTAACATTTATTAAAATTAAAGGTTCGAAGCCTACTTGTCTTGAATTCTAACTACATAAATATATAGGTTTCATGCGAACCATCTCCAGCTGGCAGAATGACTAAAATAATAGCATCTACTACCGCACCAGCACAGGTTGGCCAACATTCGTGAAATAAATGCCCATTATTTCAAAACATTACTTACGACCACGCCTCCCTCCCACATAGGGGTAGAATGATGGCTCTTTTTCCTTATCTCACCAACGTGAAGGAATCGACTCACTTGCGTGAGAACATGGCGAACAGCCACAACGATACGTAAACGGAATGGCGCTGTATTTATAACCTCAAACTTTTAAAGCGGAAGTGACGCTTCGCTACGCGTCTCCAAGGCGAGATTCCTATCTTCGTGCTAGGGGTTTAACATAAACATTCTAGAGTCAATCCAACAAATATCGCATTTTACGTCAAAATATATTTTAATTCAATTAAAACGAGATACTCTCTCAATTGAAATATGAAACAGAATTGCTTCCTTCCCGACACTAGTTTTTGCTTTTGTATACCAATAACGCTACATCGGGAGTGAAAACGTGAGCTACTGCATAAATCCCAAAAAAGTCAGCATATAAAACTGGAATCCCTCGAAAGACCTTAGGTGAAACGATTAGAATTTTTTTGACCTCGTGAGCTCTGGTACAATTCGCGCAAGATATCTCCGCCCTCGATGGCCATTAAAGCGAGGGCAAGGCACCCGAAAAGTGATAAACAGCGCGTGCACAGAAGGGCACTATCGCTCATCAGAAAACATCGGGTAATCTAAAGCGAGCTAGGGATTGTAAACATCCAGAAATCTGTTTTTGCCGCGTTAGTAATTTGTTACATTAGTTTTCTTGTATTTTTCGTACACGAAATGTGAAAGTAAATTTTTTTGTGCCGAGACTGCTTGTGGAAAAGCTATGAAGTCAATGTTCATGAGACGGCATTGAGTGAGCTCTGTTTGTGACGTTAGCCCTGCGCGCAGATTCATTCACAAAGTCTACACAGTCAAAAATGTCATTAAATTTAATGTATTGAACATTAAACTTAATGTAACCTTTTACATTAAAACATATTATAGTAGAACCTCGCTAATCCGAACCCCGCAAATCCGAAATTTTGGACAATCCGAACCAAATTCGTGAATCTTATTTTGCCATATGGAACTGAATCTGCTTGAAGATGCGATTTAATAATGTGATGATGCGATTGCTATGCTATACAGCAATTTTCTCACGTAGAACGCTACATTGCATTATCTGGTATTACCAAATGTATGTACGGTACACTTTTCCGTAAATTCTGAACAGACTACACCCTGAACTAGTTCGGATTACCAGGATTCTACTGTAATATATTTGTAAATTAAATTTAATCCAAAAGTTAACATCAGTGTAGATTTAACGCAGAGATTCTTCAGTTTCCCTGCCTCTCAGCATTCATATCGTACATTCATAATCACCAAGATAATTGATTCTTTCCTTCCAGATGCGACCAGAAAGCTTTGACTCTTGCATACTAGTGTGCGTGCGTACATTCAGTTTAATGTGCGTTCGTGACAACTACTCCAACGTAAATTTGATTAAAGCAATGCGTAAGTGTTTGAGAGTGCCGGTAAGGGCTAAGCGCCGAAGCGAGCGGTGTGGGCGGTCTCACCTGCCGCGGCGCGCGATCGCCGGCCGGCCCTCGGGCTGCTCCACGCCGCGGAACAGCGCGAACAGCAGGTCGGTGTCGGCGGCGCTGACGTACTCGTGGCGGCGCGGCGCCCCCGGCGGGCTCGACCCCTCGCCGTCGGGCGGCGTTGGCGCGCGCGGCCCTGCGGCGTGCGCGCGCGCGTTGCCCATTACTATTCACTTGCAGGCGAGGACCCGACGATTTGCTATTCACTTGCAGGCGAGGACTCCCCGACGATTTGCTATTCACTTGCAGGCGAGGACTCCCCGACGATTTGCTGCGTAACGTTTCCTTACTATTCGGCTTCTGCCTGGTGATGGGGACAACCTATCCCCGAGACCCGAATAATACAGAAAATGTTTGCAACAAATTGCTTGTCTATAAATTAATTTGGGAATCCTCACCTTCAAAAGAATTGGTATAGAAATATATTCATAAAAGACAGTCTGTTTTTCAACCTTTCAAGAACTCATCTATTAATCAGTTCATGCACGCAATAATTCAGTCATTTGTTCATTCGAACACTCGTCAATTTATTAAACAGTTCATTGCCTAAATTATTTGTTATGTAATTAATGTACAAACTAATTAATTAAATTATTCAATTATCGAGCTCGTTATTTTATTCAGCCGTTCACTCGCTCATTGACCATTTTTTCTACTAATCAATTCATTGCCAAAGTAATTAATTAAATCACTTATTCATTTAGTTCATTATTTCGTTGACTACTTATCTATTAAATAATTCATACAAACAATCAATAGTTCATTGATTAATTTATTTACGTATTTATTCATTCACTCTCGCCAGTTAATAAATCCATTTTTTGCATAAATTATTCATTATTCAATTCATAAACAAACTAAATAATTGAAGGGCTCAGTAGAACAAATAGCTATCCTACATTTGTTAGTGAAATTGACTTGTTAGCATTAAATATTTCTTTAAATATTATTTTATTTATTTATAGTATTTTTTTATTTGTAGTAATATGTAATTTAAATCCACTATGGAATTATATGGAAGCGTACTGTGTTGAAAAGTTTTAAAATGTACTGAGTTATATTATGAAAGTTCTAGTAAAACTCATAATATTAAGAACTAGGTTAAAGTGGGATAGCCACTTGTTCTACTGAACCCTTAAATTAATTAAATTATCCATTCATGAGTTAGTTCATTACTTCATTGACTAACTTATACATTAATCAATTTATACACACAATCATTCATTTGTTCATTCATTTATTGACATGTTAATTTATTTACTCATCTGTTAATTAATACACCCATTGCCTAATATATCTATGAGTATTATTCATTTCAATCACTACTTAATTGAATTTGAATTCATGTGACAGTTCATTAACTCAACAATTGTTTAATCCATCCATTAGTAATTGATTTATAAATTACTTAATTCATTCATTGATTCATTTATGGGAAAGTTTGAAATCTTCGCTCAAAGTGTCACATTTTGTAAGGCCTGTCTTAAAGTAGAATGGCATGTGGTACAATTCATCTAAACCATTAACAATATTTTAATACAAAGAATAAATTTAGTTTATTGTCCACTCATATTTGTTTTATATTTTTAATATGACTAATATAAAAATTTCTTATCAACCGACGATTCAACATAAAATAATATACACTTTTACATTTTGGGTTTTTAGAGTATTAATAAATGCATATGTTTGTTCTTTACATCATATCTATGGACAAATGCACAGATTAAATTAAGTTTTAAGGCGCAATAAATCTGAAGTGAACATTTCATTTCCAGTCGTAATGTAAACTGTCTTGAGGAAATAAAAGGTAAAGAAAATGCGTGAGAATATAAGAATACTATTCAATCAGAAAATGAACATAATTTGTCACACGTTAAAAAAGTAAATAGAAAAGAAATTAATTAAGAATGTATAGATCATTCAAAATATCAACACAATTATTACAGCTAATATTGTTGATTTGCTGGGAAAATTATAACAATTCTCTGTACATTTATGATGTTAACTGACGAAGTCCAATTCCGTGATAAACGTAAATACGAATTTCCGAAACGAAATTAACGGATCCTAATCTATGCAAAAGACAACACCTTTTTGCCCTTTGAGAACATTCATCGGCTGACAGTTCATGGTCACGTCGATACTCCTTTTTTCTACGTCTTTATTCCCGGATCGATCTTTGCCACTCGGAAAGTCTCTTTGCAATAAAATGACGCACTTGGGACACTATACGAGTATTACCAGTTGCTACTACGATAGCATCAAGAAGATAAATTGTTTCGATTCGTTTTTGTCTTTCTTTTTAAATGTAACCTCTTAGATCAGTAACTTATTTAGATGTAAGGAGAACAGAACGATTTACACGAAGAAAATTTCAGGTTTCAAAACAAAACTTCTTGTCGATTCATGAGCCTAACTTTAACAACTTAGGTGCCTCAGAGGGAAATTATATTTTCGAAAATTCCATTTCGGGACTGCTCTGTTTTTTAATTAGTTATTGGGAGAGTGTGCAAGCACTTTTCATGATACTCTTTTTATCTTAGGAAAAACTGATTAAACTCCCAATATTTTTGTTTTTTTATACAACGCACGAAATAAACCCTCATATGTTGTACCCCTTTCTTTACTTTCGAAGCAAAATTCCGTAACTCTTCTAATGAAAGAGATACATTTTCCTCAATTTATTCCCTGCTTTTGTCTTCTAAAACGTCGACTCTATTTCTCTGTTCGTGGAATGAGCTTATTACTTAAGTCGCCCAACTTGAACTTAGAAGTTGAATTTTTGTCGAAACACTATTACTTTACTTATTCTTTCAATTACGGAGATTATTCTCAGAATAGAACCAGAATTTTATTCAGAATCTTTCTCAATATCTTTGTAAGGCTATTTTATATTTCTCATTCATTTTTTAAAAAAATTGGAAATTAGGTTTGGATTTCCCGTAATAATGTTGGGAATATCCAAGACCCATGGACCACTGCTCTTATTTCCAATGGCTCGGTATTGTCTGTTATGATATAGCCACATTCAAGATGCATTCCTGCTTGGGGTATTCACCTCTTAAAATCTTTGTTATTTCATTGAGTGATATTTCAAGGATGATCCTACATTTGTCGACAAATTGTTTTATTTTTATTCAGTTCAAATGTTCGATGAAGTTAACTGAGCAGTATATTTCAACCGTTTCGACTATTTCAAGTCTTTCGAGGAATCACAGCTTGGTTGGTTGCATTCAGTCAGTTTGCTGAGAATTGATGCCCCCCCCCCCCGGTATTGGCTTGATTGGCCCTCTGTTAAGTAACTCTTGACGGCAACTCGTTTTCCCATTAGCATTTTCGCAATTACGGACGGCTATAGCGACAGTGGGGCTCAGTATTTCTGTAAAGGGGTTCCATCGACTTGTCGAGTCCTTGCTAGGTCGATTTGCTGCTTTTTACCGGAAAAGAAAGCCGGACACGATATTATGAGGTATACTACGTCTTTTGTGCCTTCAGTGCAGATGTGTGTGTATGTGTGTGTGTATGTGTGTGTGTGTGT